AGCCACACGTCGCCCATCCGAAACACAACATTCCACGCGGCGAACATCGATCGGCAAACGTCTGTCCACGCGGCGATCAAGCCTTCGCCGGCCTGCTGGCGGGAACGTCCCCGCGGGATACCATCGTCGGGCGACGCCATGAGCACTGCTGCGTCACGCCGACGTGTAAGCACGGTTCACCGTGACGGGAACACCGGACGGTCGGCTGCGTAAAAGACATGAGTGCCCCGTGCAACGTCGACCATTGCGCCGCCGTGCCGTTCTGCCTTGCATGCAGAGTTGGAGACATGCCCACGGATCGCCCGCCAACACCTGTCCGCCCGAACCGCGACTGTGCCTCTCTATGCTATGACCCCCTGACGGCCAAGTGTCCATGGCATTTCGACACTTGTTTGTTGCGTTGCATTCATTTCCATTCTGGTGGGCCACATTTCCCTTGCTCATTTTCACGCTTCTCGGAGACCGACCGACCACGCGCGGTGCAGGGTCGACGACGAGCCACGCCGGTGTAGAGTGCGTTTAGGTCGGCAAACTTTACGGGCTTCCGACTTAGGATCATTCCGACTAGGACGACTGACTAGGTCGACAACAACCGAAAGTCGCCGACCTCTTTCTTCAAACCCACAACCAGTATTGTCATCGCCGGTGATCCCCCGTGCGGCCTCCAATGGTCAGGGACCAGTCTAACAACATCCCGCCGAACAACACCCCGCCGAACGATACATTGCCACTTCACACCCCGCCGACCATTGTGCCGCCGACCACGGCCACTCCGAACATCACCCAGCAGAACACCAATCCGCCGCCCTTACTTCCCGAAATTCCCGAACTGACCGACATTGCCGCGGAGTTGACGATCGCCGAGAACGTTGAGAGGGCCGAAATCTCAGAATCCCAACCACTAGACCATTGGGATAAAAGGGCTTGTTTCAGTAGCGGGTCAGTGCGCCCATAACCCCCCAGGCAAATGTGCCTGTAACCCTTCCCTAGGATCGATCGGGGATCACCAGTGGACCTCTGACACCCCCCCGCACTGGGATGCCCGAAGTGCATACACCGGGATTCGAACCCGAGACCTTCGCTCTGGATACCATCTCAGAATCCCAACCACTAGACCATTGGGATAAAAGGGCTTGTTTCAGTAGCGGGTCAGTGCGCCCATAACCCCCCAGGCAAATGTGCCTGTAACCCTTCCCTAGGATCGATCGGGGATCACCAGTGGACCTCTGACACGAAAGACGGGCGGCCTTTAGGGCCACGGTGCGAAGGCAATACACGGCAGCGATTGTGCAGTATCGACTTTGGTGGGCTGAGCACGTACCGCAGCGAGATCGCGGCGACAACTAGAGGCCGACGGGAACAACTCTACCCGCCGAGATGGCTGGCGTCGCGCCGCCGGCGGGGAGCAGCGCGATTCCCGACCTGAACGAGCCTTTCATGGAGGAAGATGTACACACCGCTAGGGAAAATATTCCCGCCGACATGGTGGTCGACGTAGATGCCGCTAGGGCAAAAATTCCCGCCGACCCGACCATCCCCCTACCGCCAGGGACGAAAGGGGCTCCCGAACCCGAGCCGGACCGGTACTCGCCGCGTTCGGTCACGGAGCAGCCGCCGCCAATTGGACCATTTCCAGAAAACGACTACATGTATCTGACCGTAGAGGACTTGTTGGCAGCCGACGAGAAAGATGACGCCTTCCTGCAAAACATTCCGCGCGACGATTTTGCGGAAGCCGCCTTCGACATCAACAAAGAGCTCGCCAAGAAGAACAGATTGCTGAGGATGATGTGGGGTTTCCGGCATCTCGACACGCTGGAGGCGAGAACGACCCGGATTCAGTACCTGCGGGCGCTGCTCGACTTCAGGAGATGGTGCTGCGCAAACCTTCCAAGACAGGAAACCGCCAGAGTCAAGGGGGACGGCGTGCTGGAACACGAGGACGAGATAGGGAGGTACATCGACGAAGACATGGGTGATAAGTGGCACACCGCCAAGGGCGACCTACAATGGATGCACGGTCCCCGCGTCAACGCCACGCGGATCAGGGCGTACATTCTGTCAATCGCGAGGCAGGAAGGTATTGCAAAGGCCGAGGAGCTCGAGGAGCTGAATCCCGACGTCCGTGTCCAGCCCCTGAAGCCGACAACCGTTTCGATGCTGCTTATCCGCATCAAAGCGCTCCAGACGGCCTGCAAGGTCGAGGGGACGCTCTTCGGGGTGAAGGAGCTCCACATCATGTACGACATCTCCGAGGTCCGCTCGGAGGTGCGCGCGATGGTCAGAGAGAAGTGGCACAGGGACGACAGGTAAGTCGGCAAGTCGTCCCGCGCCTGTTTCCCGGTTCGCCCAGCTAACCCAGTCCTCGTGGAAACTGATGTGCAGGGATTGCGTCGACCGGCACCGCGGAACGCTCGGCGACACGTACACCACCGACCAGATCCGCCACCTCATGTTCAAGGTCTTGCCGACCTGGGCAGCTCGGGCGTACGAACCCAAAGCGGCCACCCCCTCCCAGACACTGTGGAAGTTTCTGCTGATGAAGACGATGACCCTCTTGGGTCACCACACCCTTCTCCGCGGAGCCAGTCTCCGAGCGATCGAGCTCCCCGACCTGTTTTTGTACAGAATGGGGAGCGCGTCGCCCGAGCACTCCACTCGACGGCCGGTTGTCATGGTTGTCGCGTCACGAAACTCCAAGACGAACAAGGATGCTCGTCTGCATCACAGCTACGCGGCGAGACACCTGGACCAAGAGATGTGCGCCGTCGGTCACACACTGTTGTGGCTGCACTTCGTGTACGACCAGCTCAGCCGATCGCCCACTTCTCGATGTGTGCCACCTCTCGACTTCACGACTCCGTACAGCTGGTATCACAAGCACCTCTTTCATGCTCGGAACGACAAGGAACAAAAAGAGCTGCCGGCGTCATCTCATTCTCGGATCACGAAAGAGATGTGGCGGACGAACAACATCTTCATCACGCGCAACACCCACGCCGCCCGGGCGGGTGGGGCACAGGAGCTGGCCGACGACGGCGTTCCGCGATCTGACATCGCCGACTTGGGCCACTGGGCGCTCGACAAGCTCGCGAAGAGCTACATCACGACCATCCCGAAGGCGGCGGTGTTGAGAAAGGCCGGCTACACGGGCAAGCGCGGCGACTACCACCTCGGCCGGAGCATGGTGAAGCCCGACGACAAGGTGGTGGCCCTCATCGCCCAGCACATCTTTCCGTGGGCTGAAGCGGAACTGGCCAAGGTGAGCATTTCGGACGGCAATAACGCCGACAACCCGCCGACCATTTCCACGACGACATTATACCGACGGCTGATTGTGTTTGTGTTTGTGTTCGACTCGCAGGCGGTAAAATGCGCATCCGCGAGAGAGCCCAACACGGCCGGGGTGCACTTCCTGCAATCGCTCATCGAGTTCGGCCGCCGAATCGTCGCCGAGGATCTTGCGTGCATGCTGATGCGCGAACCGTGGCACCCGTACGTCCAGAGTTCCAAGCTCTGCCGCAACCCCGACTTCCAGAAATGGGCCAAGGACGTCAACCGGGTGGACCTCGAAACCATCGCGACGCGCAGTACTCCGAGCGAGAACCCCCAAGAGGTACGGCGTGCGCGTTCCGGCGACCTGCAAAACAAGTCGTCCTGCAACATTGGCTCACCTTTTGCCGACCATCCCCCTTGGATCGCAGGAATTCAGCGCGCGAATCGACGCCGAATATCAGGTCGACCAGCTCACCATGATGCTGCACCGCCAGAGGGAGGATGCCGCGATCGAGAAGCTTGAGATGCAGAAAAAGTTGGAGGAGAAGGACGCGGAGATCGCGAAGTTGATGCAGGCTCTCAAGCTGGCCGAGGCACGGCCGACGCCGTCTGCGCCCGCACCGTCAAGGCCGATGACGGCCGCCGAGAAGGCAGCGTCCGTCAAGATCGAGAAGGAACAGGAGGATGACCTGACGTACGAGGTCAACGTCGTGCATCCCTGGCGCACATCCAAGACGGTCGAGGCTGCATGGCGCTGGTGGAACAACCCGTCCAACTTCGACTCGCGTCCGTTGCGCGAACGTTTCGACGAGCACAGATTCCTCGTCAGACACACGCGCATGATCTGCAAGGTCGAAAAGGGCGACAAACCCGCCGCGTCGGCGAAGTCGGCGAAGAGCTCTAGTCCCACGACCGAGGTGGGTGAGACGGGGAAAAACGATGCGCTGCAGCACTGCACTCGCCGGATGAGGCGGATCATGGAAGCGGTGCACGACTTGCGGCGGAGCGACGACGCCGCTGACACCGCCGCCGTCATCAAGCTACTCGACCACCTGGGGCGAGCGGGGCTTTCCACTTTCAGCGACGCGCTCTTGGTCCTCCGTGCAACCCCGCCCATCAAGGTCCCCACCACAGCCGACGGAAAGTCGGTCGGCATCAAGGGTCTGGACAAGCCGCTGGCGAGGAAGCTCGCCGTTGCGTGGGGCGTGGTCACGGCGGGCTACATGGACGCTGACTGGGGAAAGAGGCTCTTTGGCGACTTGTGGGATGAGCAGGCCAATAAGGCCGGCTTGGAGGCCGAGGCGACGGTGGGAGCCATCGGCGCAGGGAAGCGCAAGAGGGCGGGCTGAGGGTACTGCGTCTGGGTCCGACTTGTGCTGCTGGCTGAGCGTGGTGTGACTGAGGCCGGGCTGAGGGCGGGCTGAGGGTGGGCTGGGGATGTGCTGAGCGTGTCCGACCTGTTCTAGTGACTCTATATGGTTTTCTTTTACTGGCAACTTTGTTTCGACTTGTAAATTAGTTGAAGTTTGTCCGTTGTTCATGCATCAAACCGACTCCACACCACAAAACCTACGTCACAACGTTTCTGAAAAACTACCGACGAACAAGTTCAGCATCACTAAGCCGGAGAGGCACAACAAAACAACAAAACAGCGGACAACAAGCCTGCAGCGTTTGCACCCACGCCGACCATGCTACGAGCAGGCGGGCCAGCCTTCGTCGACCTAGGCGTCGGCGACCTGCTTCCCTTTGTGCTGCTGCCCCCTCGCCCCCCTGTCCCGAATGATAACCTTCATCTGGGGGTCGATAGGCAAATCGACGCCGCGAGCCTTGAGCTTCGGGCCTCCGACATTGCAGTCCCCCCAGAAGGCGAGGTTCTCTATCATGACACGGGCGATCAGCTCGTCGTGCTCGCGCTCCTCTCCGACCTCAGGCAGCGACCTCAGCACAGCCGCCTGCAGGTCCTTCGTCACCGTTTCGGCGACCTCCCCTACGACGACCTCCCGGGAGGCCGCCCGCTTAAGCACCGCCTCGATGACGGTCCGACACCGACTCGCGAACTCGTTGGACGCTCCGCGCACGGTCGCTGCTGCCCCCCCTTCGCCGGCCGCTACTTCCGCCGTGGCATTGGTCTCCGAAAAACACCACACCGCGGCCGCAGTACCGGCGAGGATCTCGGACAACCGCTCCGACCCGACGCCCGGAATGGGCAACACTTTCGCGGCCACCGGTGCGAAGGCGGCACACATCGAAACGCGTGCGATCATGTCGCTCGCCACCTTCTTCTTCGCGGCCTTCTCGGGCTCGGTCGACTCCGGAAGGTCGCCGAACCACACCGCCGGGCGAAGAGCCAACATGAGAGCTGCGCGGTCGGCTTCGGTTATCCTGTTGTATTCCGCGACCACCTGTTGGAACCTGCGAAACACAGCAGGAATACCCACCGTCACCGACCGGCCCACGCGTACCGACCGAAACGAGCACCAAATTGAGCATTCGCCAAGCTTACCTGTCGCGGAAGACGTTCGCCCCTCGGCTCCACATGACCATCCACATGCCCCCCGGAATCAATCGCGCCACATTCCAGTCCGCCTTATACTGCGCCATCACTTCCTCCTTGACCCCACCGAACTCGTCGAGAACCACGTCGCTGACGAAGCCGTCGAACGACGAAACGGCGACAGCGATGCAGTAGGCGGCCTCGGACTTGTCCATCGACCGGCAGATGTAACGGCTCTTTTTCCCTAACTTCATCTCCGAGACGGCCAGCCCAGTTGAAGGGTCAACGCGGACGCCTGAACCCTTCCGACCCTGCGCGGCCGCTTTGGACGTCCCCTTGGAAGAGCCGACCTTCGGCGGGCCGCCCTTCGCCTTGTCCTTGCCCTTGCGCCTCTACTTCCCATCGCCGACCTCACCGGTTGTGGCCGGGGGAGATTTGGCGCCAGCCGCGCTATGGTCCTCCGCAGGAGCAGTCGAGGCGGCTGGTGCACCCTGTTGCGCTCCCACGGTGGGAGCTGCTGCTTGTAGTTTCTCCCGCATGACCTCGATTTCCGGGTCCGGCATCACGATGCTGGCGAGGATCTCTTCGTCCACCCCGCCGGCCTCTTCCGCCGCTCTCCACACAGCCGCCTCCACCGTTGACCCACTCGGCCCTGCAGTCGCCGCCGCGACGTTCGCTGCCTCTGCTCCTTGGTCGACCACCTGGTTGCTGTGAGTCGGAGGAATTACCGGGGTTTTGTGACCCTGATCCTCGAGCCATTTCAGATACTCGTCGTACGATGGCTTTTGAGTGATTAGGGCCTCGACCGCCCGAGACTCAACAGCCGTTGGGATCGGGATGGGTTCCGCGGCGACCATGGCCCCATGAACGGGTAAGCTGGCCGCACCGGCAGCCTGCTGGACATGCTGTCCGACCACCGCTGCTGGGCGCAACAGCTCGTCGACCAGCGCCGTGACACCACCCGGTCGCGCGTCACGTGCAGTGGCAGGACTCGTCGCGGTGTGCGGATGCTGGCCCGCCGCGGCCTGCTGGACATGATGTCCGACCACGGATGCTGGGCGCAAGAGCTCGTCGACCAGCGCCGTGGCGCCAGCCGAACGCGCGTCCCGTGCAGTCGCCGGACTCGTCGCGGTGGGGGTATGCTGGCCCGTACCTGGCGGCCCGCCCTGCTGTCCGACCACCGCTGCTGGGCGCAAGAGCTCGTCGACCAGCGGCGTGACGCCAGCCGGACGCGCGTCTTGTGCGGTCGGCGTGCTCGTCGACGGGTGAAGATGCTGGCCCGCCCTGCTGTCCGACCACCGCTGCGGGGCGCAGGAGGTCGTCGGGCAGCTGCGCTGTGACGCCGGTCGGTCGCGCAGTCGGCGTACTCGTCGAGGGTTGAACATGCTGGACCGCAACGGGCTCCCTGCGCGCCTGGCCGACCACCGCTGCGACGTGCATGTCGTCTGCCGTCTGGGCCGTGCCACCGCTCGGTCGAGCGCCTTGTGCAGTCGCCGGACCCATGAGCTCGTCGGCCAGACTCACCTGCTCGCAGCTCGGTGGCGCGTCGTGTGCGCTCGGCGGATCGGTCGGGGCCTGTGGCTGCTTGTCCCCCACGGGCTGGCCACCGGTCTTCCCGACCACCGACTGAGGATCCTCGAGCGCGACGTCGACCTGTCGAAAATGTTCGCTCGGTCGCGCGCCAAGTCCATCTTTCAGCAAGTCGTGGACGCCGGGGATACGAGCATACGGAGGGGCAGGAGGATCCACGCCCACACCGCGTTTCACCGCAGGTCCTCTGCTTCGCTTAGAGCCGCTGGTCTGGTCGCCGGTCAGGGATTTTTCGTCGGCGACCCTTTTCCCCGACTGCCTTGGGGCCGGCCCACTCTCCTCGGCGGTTGCGCGACCGCCGTGCATCACCGACGCGAAAGCAGTTGGGAGGAGGCTAAACCCGGCGGTGCCAATGCCCTGTTGGGTCGCGGAGGTGACCGCCTTCACCAGGTCGTCCCTAAGCTCTTGGACGACCTTCGCAGTCACGGCAGCGGCGATCCGCTGCGCCTCGCCCTCCATGGCGGCCTTCACCTCGGCAGACACGACTGTTTTGATGTTCTGGCCGAGAGAATCTGCCACACCTCGAAGCAGCAGGAGGTCGTCCTCCCGTCGCCTACCCTGTGCAGCAGTAGCCGTCGAGTGCAGGGCCTGCACGGTGGGCAGCCACTGCGTGTTCATGAATTCGAGGGTGGAGCCGCGATAGCTCACCGCCTCCTGCACGACCGCCCTCACAGCGTCCACCGCCAGCTGGATGCTCCTCCCCGACGTCTGCTCGAGATGGGTCACGCCCTCGGCGACTGTAGTGAGCTTGTTCACGGCCGAGGTGACCACGCCGTAAATCGTGTCATTCCGGGCCGTTTGGAACTCCAGCCTCTTTTCCGCCACCAGCTTCTCCTCCCTCAGCTTCTTGATCTCCCTCTCCGCCGCCTTCAGACGCTCGATAGCCGCCTTTGACGCCATCCTAGGCGGGGTCGAGCCACTGCTGCCCCGGGCCTTCTTGCCCAACTTGGGTCCGCTGCCGCCGCCCATATCCGCAACCTTCTCACCGGCGAACTGCACTGCCTCCTCTTCGCCGGTGACAACCACGTCGTCCTCCTCACGCTCCACGTCCTCCTCCTCTTCTTCCGAGCCACCGTCGTGCTCCCCGCCCCCCTCAACGTCCTCCCTCTCGTGCTCCTCCTCCCCACCCATAGCGATGCCGGTTTCGACGCCACGGGCCACGGTCGACGCCGCCTCCCCTCTGTTCGACGCGGCCTTCTCCGCGTGGTGCAGCAGCTCCAGTCGGAGCGCCTTCAAGCCGACCATCTTCGGGTTCTCGACGATGAGCGGATCGTAGCTGCGAAACACGTCGTCGAGATGCTCCAAAGACCACGCGAACGCGTTGACCGCCAACAGCCCCGAGCCGGCGACCTCCTCCTTGAGGATGTCGGGCAATTTCTGCATCAACATCCGAAGCACATGGCGACGACGAAAAGGGTGAGTCGACGCCTCGACGACGATAGCCCAGGCGACAAGGCGACATGGACGTTGGTGTCAGAACATATCTATAGCTTATACTGCTGTGTAGGCTGTAGTGGGGTATCCCATAGGGGGTACAACCCAGTTAGGGTTTCATATTTGTACTGCTTTCATTCATAGTTCATTCATTCCTGTTTTCCTATTTTCACATGGTATAGAGCGGGTCCTACCTTAGGACCGTTGTCTGGGCCCACCGACGCGCGCCCCGAGGCGCGCCCTTTTTTTTAGCGACCCCTCGGGTCGCCTTTTCACTCGCGGCCCCGCCGCCTCCTCTGACGCGGCTTTGCCGCCTCCCCTGACGCGGCCCAGCCGCCTCCCTTGACGCGGCCCTGCCGCCTCTTTTAACGCGGCCCCGCCGCCTCCCTTGACGCGGCCCTGCCGCCTCCCTTGACGCGGCCTCGCCGCCTCCCCTGACGCGGCCCCGCCGCCTCCCCTGACGCGGCCCTGCCGCCTCCCTTGACGCGGCCCCGCCGCCTCCCTTGACGCGGCCCCGCCGCCTCCCCTGACGCGGCTCCGCCGCCTCCCCTGACGAGGCCCCGCCGCCTCCATTGAAGCGGCCCCGCCGCCTCCCCTGACGCGGCCACGCCGCCTCCTCTGACGCGGCCCCGCCTCTGCTGCCGACGGCCCCACCGCTGCACCCTGCCGGCCCGTCGCTGCTCCTGCCGGCCCGCCGCTGCACCCTCCCGGCCCGCCGCTGCACCCTGCCGGCCCGCCGCTGCACCCTGCCGGCCCGCCGCTGCACCCTGCCGGCCCGCCGCTGCACCCTGCTGGCCCGCCGCTGCTCCTGCCGGCCCGCCGCTGCACCTACCGGCCCGCCGCTGCACCCATCGGCCCGCCGCCTCTTACGGCCCGCCACTTGAACCTGCCGGCCCGCCGCTGCACCTGCCGGCCCGACGCTGCACCTGCCGGCCCGACGCTGCATCTCCCGGCCGAGCCGCCCCAGCCGCCGAGCCGCCCGGGACCCGAGCCGCCCTGCCGCCGAGCCGCCCGGGAACCGAGCCGCCCTGCACCCGAGCCGCCCAGCCGCCGAGCCGCCCGGGAGCCGAGCCGCCCTGCACCCGAGCTGCCCAGCCGCCGAGCCGCCCGGGAGCCGAGCCGCCCTGCGCCCGAGCCGCCCAGCCGCCGAGCCGCCCGGGAGCCGAGCAGCTGTGCACCCGAGCCGCCCGGTCGCTGAGCCGCCTTTCTGCTGACTGCACGACCTGCCCTGCCTGGTGAGCACTGTCCCACTGACACTGCGAGCTCTTTCCCTACTGCTTGCACTGCGTCGCTGTCGTCACCATGGCTACCCCTAGTGTCCTAGCTTTTGACGCTGAGGGTCGCGCCATTGATTTTGAGGTCTGGTTAGACGACCTGCAGCTGTTCTTACAGTGCGACCGGGCTGACGACCTTTCTCTCTTTGACCTCACCTCTGGCGCCTCTCCTGCCCCTGCTGCTGATGCTGATCCCGCTGTCCGCTCTAAGTGGGCCACCCGCGATGCTGCTGCACGTCTTGCTGTGCGTCGCCACCTCCCTACCTCTGAGCGTGCGCATTTTAGTCAGTACAAGAGTGCTCAGACCTTGTACGACGCTGTAGTTGCGCGCTACTCCTCCCCTGCCACTGCTGCACTGAGCCGTCTCATGCTTCCCTACCTCTTTCCTGACCTCTCTGCCTTTCCCACTGTCGCTGACCTCATTACGCACCTCCGCACTAGTGACACTCGCTACCGCGCCGCCCTTCCTGCTGAGTTCTGCGCTAAGAACCCCCCCCCCCCATGTACATCGCTCTCTACTACGTAGTCGCACGCCTCCCTGACTCCCTTCGCGTCGTCAGGGACCACTTTCTCGCAGTCTGTCCCACCACTCTCACCGTCGACCTCCTCGAGAAGGCCCTCCTTGCAGCGGAGAAGAGCATAGTCGCTGTAGGTGCTTCTCGTGGTGACCCTCGCACCCCCATCTTTGAGGGGTGCTCTCCTTCCCCCTTGCTGCCCTCTGTTGCCTCTGCTGCTGCTGCCGACCTGCTTGGTCTTGAGTCGGTCGGCGCGGCGTCTGCCCCTAGTGGGAGACGTCGCTCCAGCAAGGGCAAAGGGGGCAAGGGCGCGGGTGGAGCTGGAGGGGGCGGTGGCGGTGGCGGCGGTGGCGGCGGAGGGAGTGGGGGTGGCGGCGGGGCTAGTGGCGGGGGTGGTGGTGGTGGTGGCGGCAGCAGCGGCGGAGACGGTGGTGGTGGTGCCAGCGGTGGTGGTGGAGGCAGCGGCGGAGGTGGAGGCGGCGGAGGTGGAGGCAGTGGAGGCGGCAGCGGAGGAGGCAGTAGTGGTGGAGGAGGTGGAGCTGGTTGGGGTGGTACCCAGCAGCGTAGCGGCGGTGGTGGTGGCCAGCGCTCGCACCGGCAGCAGCAGCAGCGCTCGCGGGACATCCCTTCGCCTCAGCAGCTTCGTGAGTGGTACGCTGGGCGTCAGAGGGGTGGGGGTACTGGTCCCTGCACCTACGTTCTTCGTTCCGGCGACCACGCGGGTGAGCAGTGTGGGGGTGCCCACGCCACCCAGCGCTGCTTTGGCCGCCTGACGGACGCTTGGCGTCAGCAGTTCCCTGGGGCTAGTGAGATCCCTCGCTGGGATGAGCTTCTCAGGGCTGGTGTAGCAATCTTTGATCTTGATTTTGATGCTATCCTTACTGCTATGTATGTTGTGGATTATAGTGAGGAGAATGAGGGTTACCGGTGTTTTCAGCCCGACCCGGGCATTGGTACTGCTGCGCTAGGTGCTTGTGAGGCTGCTGCTCTAGGTGCCAGTGCGTCTGCGCTCTCAGGTACTGGTGAGACTGCGCTCTCAGGTACTGAGTCGTCCTCGTCCTCCCTCACTTTCACACTTGACTCCGGAGCTTCTCGCTCCTTCTTTCGAGACCGCACTACCCTTTCGCCGCTCGCCAGGCCGGTTGCGGTCTCCCTTGCTGACCCCTCTGGGGGTCCTGTCCTGTCTCACTTCTCCACTGTCCTCCCGTGTCCGGCTGCCCCTTCGGGCACCCTGTCGGGTCTGTACCTTCCCTCGTTCTCTACGAACTTGGTGAGTGGAGCGGACCTGCAGGATGGGGGTGTTCACCAGTTCACTCCTGCGCGTCAGAGGGTGACCCACTGCACGGAGGCTCGCACAGGCCGACACCTGGCCACGTTCTCACGTCGGCCGGGGTCGAGTCTCTACACCCTGACCGTTGAGTCTCCTCCTGTCCCTGCGTCTGGTCAGGTGGCTGCGTCGGGTCAGGTACTTGCTGCTGCGTCCCGGTCAGGTCCTGAGTCTGCCCCCTGTTCTTGTCGCCTCCTGTCTCACGAGACTCTCCTGTGGCACCACCGTCTTGGCCACCCCTCCTTGCCCCGTCTTCGGAGCATGGCTTCCCGTGTCCTTGTCTCTGGTCTTCCCCAGTCTCTCCCTCCTCTCCCCTCCGGGCCAGGACCTTCCTGTGTCCCCTGTGTCGAGGGTCGCCTCCGGGCTACTCCTCACTCCTCCCACTTCCCCCCGACAGAGGCTCCCCTGCAGACGCTTCACATGGATGTGTGGGGCCCAGCCCCCGTCCGTGGGCAGGGTTACGAGCGCTACTTCCTGTTGGTGGTTGACGACTACTCGCGTTACACCACAGTCCTCCCCTTGCGCAGCAAGGGTGCGGTCACTGAGGTGCTGATCGACTGGATCCGCGAGGCTCGTCTCCAGCTCAGGAAGAGCTTCGGCTCGGACTTTCCTGTTCTGCGTCTGCACTCTGACAGAGGCGGAGAGTTCTCTTCTCGCCTTCTGCGAGACTACTGTCGTGCACGGGGGATCCGCCAGACCTTCACACTTCCGGACTCACCACAGCAAAATGGGATTGCTGAGCGCCGCATTGGCATGGTCATGGATGTCGCTCGTACGTCCATGATGCATGCGGCTGCCCCCCATTTTCTGTGGCCGTTTGCGGTGAGGTACGCGGCGCATCAGCTCAACCTTCACCCCCGGGTCTCTCGGCCAGCGATGTCCCCAGCCTTGCTGTGGACGGGGAAGGTTGGCGATGCGTTTGTGTTCCGTGTCTGGGGATCTCGGGCGTTTGTCCGCGACTTGTCTGCGGACAAGCTGTCCCCTCGTGCTGCTCCCTGTGTCTTCCTTGGCTTCCCCACTGACGCCCCAGGGTGGCAGTTTTACCACCCCTCCTCTCGTCGTGTTCTGTCCTCCCAGGACGTCACGTTCGACGAGTCAGTCCCCTTCTACCGTCTCTTCCCCTACCGCACTCCTTCCCTCCCCCCTCCCCCGGACTTCCTTGTGCCGGTTCCCCCCCCGGTAGACCCCCTCCCCCCTCAGGTTCCTGCCCCCTCAGGTGTGTCCCAGGTAGACGCCGTTGACCCGGTCGAGGTTACTGGTGACTCTGGTGCTGCTGCGGGTGCTGAGCCTGGGGGTGCTGACTCTGGGGGTGCTGTGCGCGGGGGTGCTGAGCCTGGGGGTGCTACTGCTGGGGGTGCTGGGCCTGAGGGTGCTACTGCGGAGGGTGCGGAGCCTGGGGGTGCTGAGCCGGGGGGTGCTGTGCCTGGAGGTGCTGGGTCTGGGGGTGCAGGGTCGGGAGCTGCTGAGCCTGGGGGTGCTGAGCTGGGAGCTGCTGAGCCTGGGGGTGCTGCGTCTGGAGCTGCTGAGCCGGGGGTTTCTCCTGCTGCTGCGTCTCGCCGGGAGCCCCTCTCTCCACAGGAGCTGCGCGAGTGGTTCGCTCGCCGCTGGAGGCGTGCTGCTGAGTCTGGTGGTGCTGCTGGAGCTGGAGCTGGAGCTTCTTCGACCGTCGAGGGTGCGGGTGCAGCCGGTCCCGGAGCTGCTGGCCCTGCAGGTCCTCCTGGAGCTGGAGCTGCTGAGGGCGTTCGTGCTGAGCCTGCTGCTGTTGGTCCTGCCGCTGGAGGTGTGGGTGGCGCTGGTGCTGTCGCTGAGGGTGCTGGTGCTGTCCCTGCTGAGTCTGGA